ACTCTGGTACCTTGTTGTATTACTTTTGAATTATTTATAGAGTATGAGATGTTTAGAAGCAAAGCAAAAGCAAAGCGTGCTGCTTATATACTGGCCCATAGTGCTTCAAGCACTCTCTGGGCGGTTTACAAGTTAATTATGCAGGCTACACACTGCCCCCACCCAGCAAGCTGGGGAAACTATGATATTTCATTCTGAAAAAAACCCTCCCCAGATCTGTTGTCCTGTGATTGGTTTATGACCATAATACAAGTCCTTAAATCTAACAATGGTTTTCTCTTTCAAATTGTGTATATTTTGTATGTAGACAATATAGTCTGTATTTAAATATGTAGAATAAATTAAACCTGCACCCCTGTGCTCATTTACCTTTTAGGTAAAATATAGTTTTTAAAAAGATGTCCAGGTGTGGAAATGCTGGAAGAAGTTGGTGTGTCTTCAGTATGTGGGCCTGCCATATTGGATTCACCAGGGCACATATACGTTTTTTCCCCTCCTATACAATATGGGAGGAAGAGGACCCCCCACGTCTTTAGCATGAAATCAAGTGAGGGGAACAGAGCAATTCCTCTTCTGCCACCTGAACATGGTTTGCTCCATCCGGGCTAAAGTGCACCAAGGCTCACAGGTTCAGAATGTGAAATATGAATGTGATGCTATGGGATATGTAGTCCTTTGTTCTCAGGATTTTCCACAGGTAATGTTTACTTGCACAGGAAAGAAGAGTGTTTTCAGCCAGTCAAGGCGAAACCACCCATGAACTGATACCACGCATTCCAGTTGCTGACCAAGGAAGGATCCTATGAGAAAGAGGGGCAGCACTGAAGGAAAAATTATATTCGGGGATTGGAGCTACCCCACGAAAGGACTTTAATCTGATTGGCTAAGGGGATGCTTAGCAAAAGGGTATTTAAGACCTAGTAGGCAGAATGGAGGATGACACCCCCCCTTTCTTGCTTGTCAGCTTTCCTACTTCTTAGCAGAATGGAGGTAGGAGAGATTTATGCCTGCTTGTTAGAACTAACTTAAGCTATGCAGAGACAATTAGAAAGCATTAGTTAATTAGAGATATTATTATTTTAATTAGGAATGCTTCAGCTAGCCTAATTACTTAAGCATTTGCATGCTATTTAGCTGTATGCTTCAGCAATCTTTTTAAATGTACAACTTCTTTCTTTTGACCTCTTTATTTTTATAATTTTAATAAATCATTTATATTCTACCCAAGTGTGGTTCTTGGGGAAGAAGGGGTGAGTGACTCTACCAGGAACCCTAGCCTTCAGTTATGTTGGCTACTTTTGTTATTTGGGTGACCTAACTTGTCTTGTTGGTGTTAGTCTTAAGAAACACAAGCAAGAAGACCTCTGTCCCGGGAAATGTGACAGGTGTAAACTTAAGTGCAGAGGCTTGCTTATGATTGCCAAGACACACACCCTCTACGTATTCACCCAACCTGGGAACAAAGGGTGGTGGTCTTTGGGATCAGAGAGGCTCCTTCTAAAGATAATTACCTTCTTATGGTGAGATAAGAGGGCTTGATTCCATTATATTGAATGGCAGGGAAGATGATCTCTTCTCCCACCCACTTCAGGCTTCCCTGTATCCTGCTCCCAGGCTGTAGGATTCCAGAGACTGTGTGGCTATGACATAAAGTCTAACATAAAGGTGGAAATCCTGCTGGCACAAGCTACAGAATGAACTCATCAGGAGTGGCCATTGCTTTTGTAATTAAAGACTGCCCTCTCACATGTTGATAAGCTTCCAAATTGTGAAAGGGATTCCATGGGAGCTTTGGCACTTTTGGGAGACAGTTCATAAATGTTTTATTTCTGAAAAATCACGGTGTGTAACTTACACAGGAAGATTTCAGCTGCAGAGTTCTATGGTAGTCAGGGAAGCGAAATTTGGGAGATCTGAAGTCTAAGTACAGTGGTGCCTCGCTTAACAATTACCTTGTTAAATGACGAAACCGCTTGACGATGAAGTTTTTGCAATCGCTTTTGCAATCGCAAAATGATGTTTAGATAGGGAAATTTTGCTTGACGATGACCGGTTCCCTGCTTCGGGAACTGATTTTTCGCTAGACGATGATTTTTAAGCAGCTGATCAGCGGCTCTAAAATGGCCGCCCGCTGTGCAAAATGACTCCCCACTGTGTTTTAGGATGGATTCCTCGCTTTACAGGCACTGAAAATGGCCACCCCTATGGAGGATCTTCGCTGGACACTGAGGTATTTAGCCCACTGGAACGCATTGAACTGGTTTCAATGCATTTCAATGGGCTTTTTTATTTCGCTTGACAAGGATTTCGCTTAACAGCGATTTCAACGGAACAAATTATCCTCGTGAAGCGAGGCACTACTGTATGAGAACAGTCCATAAGCCAAGCAATGTCAGTAATCACCACAAATATATAATGAGAATCCAAGACGTCTAGCCAACACAGTCAAAAACATAAAGGGTCTCACCTTCAAGGACTAGGATACACAGCAAGGCTTGACAAGGATTTCGCTTAACAGCGATTTCAACGGAACAAATTATCCTCGTGAAGCGAGGCACTACTGTATGAGAACAGTCCATAAGCCAAGCAATGTCAGTAATCACCACAAATATATAATGAGAATCCAAGACGTCTAGCCAACACAGTCAAAAACATAAAGGGTCTCACCTTCAAGGACTAGGATACACAGCAAGCACAAATCAGAAGCACAAGAGACATTACCTCCAGCAAACCCAGTGCCTCATGATGAGGCTTTTACTGAATTGGAGGCTTTGGGCTAGCTAGAACTTCATAACCTTATGTTCTTTGCATCCTGGTGAATATAGGCAGGCACTGATACAAGGCAGCACTTATTGTCTTGATAGCTTTTCAGGGCTGCAGAGTGATATGACCTAACAAATGGAAGTACTCAGGTAACGAAAGGATACACTGTGGAGCCCCCCTGGGACCTGATTCAGATGAGAGACTGACAGCATTCCTCTCAACCTCACTACACAGGGACTACTATATGACGTTGACAGCCAAAAGGTCTTTGTAGATCGGCCTCCCTGGGCTTGAAAGAAATTGGGGATAACAACAGACCATCCTATTCCAATTTGAGTGATACAAACACCTTCTCTGGTCAAGTCAGTGTGTTATCAGCTTGATGTGAGGAGCTGCTCCTGAAAGAATGCCTGAAACCTGTTGCATATTAATGCAAAACACATAACATTTGGAAGCAAATGGTTGCACATTAAGAAACCACATACAAGAGATAATGCCTCCTTTGGGCCAATTGTCTCCAGATGTCCATATGCTTGACTGTTGAGATCATACCCTGAGGCATTTGGTCAGCTAGGAACGGAATTCAGCCCTGTGTTTGCTGATTTGCTGCTCCACAGGAACAAAAATGGAGGAGTAAATAATGTCAGTTATTCTCCGACTCTCTTCTTTAATCATCATGCTATGTTTTGAACATTGACAGCATCTCAGAATCAAAAATGAGACAGCAGCAAAGATCAAGTCAATGTTGGGATCACAGAATCTAACCTTAATGGACACTTATTAAAGGACAAGATTTGCTGCTTGCAGTTGGCCTTCTTCTAAGTAAATATGAGTAGAATTTGTATGTGAGTTCTGCTAGGTGAAACACACAGAGGAAGCATATTAGGATTCTTAACTGAGGCTGTTTAGAATGAACATACTCTGCTACAGCACCTCCAATAGATGTAGATCCATTTCTGGGCATAATTTTAAGTGCTGGTTTTAACTTATAAAGCCCTGAAAAGCTTGGGTCTAAGCTTTCTAAAAAGATTGTATTTCCCTTTATGATCCTGTTTGGATGTTATGATCATCAAAGAGGCCTTTCTCTCAGTCTCGTCACCCTCACAGACATATTTGGTGGGGTTATTGGAGAGGCTCCCACACTCTGGAATTCCCTCCTATATGCAGAGAGACACAGACACACGCACACACACAAGCAATATATATTTGTGGCAGTGAGGACTGAGATCGAAATCCAGCAAACCACAAGAACATTGTAAGAGGAAGAGGTGAAGAGCAATTATATTCTTTTGCAGGCTCAGCTATGGATAAGGTAGCTATGCATGTCCTCAGAAATAACATGGTACAGATAGTGCGTTGCTTTGAACTATTTATGCATTTTAGGACAGGCACACGGTGATTCATATATTTATGAATTTTA